CCTTTTCATATGTGTTCATTTTTTAAAATTGTATCCTTTGGTATATATGGTTGTGACTATTTTCTTCCACTATTTGATCTGAGGAAGTGGGTCTGGCCCACGAAAGCTCATCATCTAATAAACCATCTTGTTAGTCTTTAAAGTGCTACATAGTCCTGTATTTTGTCTCAACCCAGTGAGGGTATGGCTAGACTGCAGGAGTTTTTCCAGGATTCAAGAGATATCCCGGAAAAACTTTTCCGCGTCCAGGGATGCATTTGTTCTTTTGTTTTTTTAGTGGAAGAGCAAACATGCTCTTTCAGTAACCCCTGTATTCCTTGTTCCACAAGGAATAAGGGGGCTTCCAAAAGAAGGGGTTTTTCTGACAATTGGTCCAGTCTAGACAGGCCAAATGTTGGAAAAATGTCTTCCTACAGAAGAACTGGGGGAAAAAAAGTGGCAGTGTAAAGTGTATAAGGGCTGGGGATAGCAAGTGATGGAGAGGAGGAGAATAGAGAGGGAGGGGCTTCAAGGAAGAGGTGGGGTCTTGGGGGAAGGATGGGGCAGTAGATCTTCGCTTGTTCTGAGATTTAAAAAGTGGTCTTGGGTGTAAAAAGGTTGAAAACCACTGCTCTACAACTAGCTTATTCTTTCTGAATATTGTAAAAAAAAATCTCTTTTTTTCCCAAGTAGTTTATGCTTGAATTCTGTTATCTATTTTATTGGCAGTAGGCTATGCCAATAGATCCTGTCTGAAAAATCCACAGTTAGTTAAGAAGTGTATAAAGTGTAGGTAGTACTTCACTTTGAAATTCTGGCTCAGAATGGTGTCTGCATCAGACAGGTAGCTAATAAGACCGAGGGACAGATTTAAATATATGACGTTTCACACTATTGAACAGAGTTAAGCGAATAATACTTACAAGCAAAATTCAGCTAATATTCATCCAAATTCAAAAATGAATTTTGATTCAACTGTATTTATAATTCTTTAGTGTTCATGCTTTGAGAGCATTTAAATTGTCAATGTTATCAAAATAGCAATGACAAGCAAATTTGAAACAAAAATGCTTGAATATTTGGTAAGTATGAATGTTGAGTTTTATACTTAATTGTAATATTCAAAAGATGTGTTCTGTAGCTTGGTTACATGTATCACCCAATAGGGACAGAAACTGTGGTATGTAACTTATGGAACAAACCAACACAGAAAATTTCAAAAGTTTCAATATAAAGTGTTCTTAATCAACAATACGCAAACAATGCACAGAGAACATTGCATGAAAAATAATTGTGAATATTTTAGAATAAATCTGAAATTTTTTTATGATATTTCATAATCAGAAAAGTGTACTTCAGCAAATGCATTATGAACTATTCACAGAGGATATGTCTACACTGCATTCCTCTTTTGAGATTCAAATGCAGCTGAGCAAAATTGCAAATGAAGCGTGGATTTGAATTTCCCACGCTTCATTTGCATAATCGCGTCCAGGCGCTATTTCGAAATACCCTATTTAAAAAAAAAGAAACGCTGTCTAGACGTGGTTATTTCAAAAGAAACCCCTTCTTTCTAAATTACCTTTACTCCTTATAAAATGAGGTTTAAGGGTAATTTTCGAAATAACGCCCAGATACAATTATGCAAATGAAGCGTGGGAAATTCACATCCGCACTTCATTTGCAATTTTGCTCAGCTGCATTTGCATTCCTCTCTCGAAAGAGGAATGCAGTGTAGACATACCCTGAGCCAAATCTATTTTTAAGTCATTAGGAAGAAATATTTATATCCATAGAATTCATAAGAATAAGAGTCTTATGATACAACAAGAGGGCATTTTTTACTGTTCTTAAAATATTTGACATTTACTGGCAGGCCATCAAACAAGCATGTTGTACAAAACAAAAAACATAAAGTTATTATTTAAAAATAGTTCTTTAATTTTAAAAATCCATATAAATTACTATGTTTTTTTAAACAGTGAATTCTTCATGCCAGGAATGGTTGATACACATATTCATGCACCTCAGTATTCATTTGCTGGATCAAGAGTAGATCTACCTCTTTTGGATTGGTTAAACACATATACATTCCCAACAGAAGTGAAATACAAAGATAATGACTTTGCTGAAGAGGTATACACCAGAGTTGTAGTAAGTACAAGAAATGTCTTCTACCTACTGTTATAAAGTGCACATTAATGAACTGTGTCAGCTTGCTAAAGCTGACAGTATCTCTAAAAAATAACAGTATTTTAATTTTGTTTAAATGGCATAAGAACTAAAAAAAATTAGAAATATTGTCATTGTCCAAGACTACGTCTAGACTGGCCCCTTCTTCGGAAGAGGCATGCTAATTTCTAACTTTGGAATAGGGAAATCTGCGGGGGATTTAAATATCCCCCGCGGGATTTAAATAAACATGGCCGCCGCTTTTTTTCCGGCTTGGGGAAAAGCCGGAAAAGAGCGTCCAGACTGGCGCGATCCTCCGGAATAAAGCCCTTTTCCGGAGGATCTCTTATTCCTACTTGCAAGAGATCCTCCGGAAAAGGGCTTTATTCCGGAGGATCGCGCCAGTCTGGACGCTCTTTTCCGGCTTTTCCCCAAGCCGGAAAAAAAGCGGCGGCCATGTTTATTTAAATCCCACGGGGGATATTTAAATCCCCCGCAGATTTCCCTATTCCAAAGTTAGAAATTAGCATGCCTCTTCCGAAGAAGGGGCCAGTCTAGACGTAGCCCAAGAGTGCCAACTAAGAGTATCTCCTTCTAGTTCTGATGTCTAGGAGAATAATTAGGGATGTGTGAACCCAGGAAAGTTCAAAGTATTCTTAGCTTCTCTCTCTTTCTTTTCCCTAAGGTGTTAGTGGTTTGCAAAGCTGACTCAAGTTTAGCAGTCAGCTAAATGTATAGCAACAACAATGTAGTTCCAATGAAACTGTAATGTGAATGAAAAAGTTATATTGCACAAGTCTGTTACTTGAAAATACCAGCTTTATGGACTGTCAGTACAGTATGTATTTCTCAGTGAAACAGCATTTAATCTACGATGTCTCACCTTAATTACATAATGTATTTTTCAATAAGATACAACTGTGATGAGGACAATATAAAAGTCCATAAAATCTAATATGAAACAGTTGGGAAATTCTCACTTAAGACTACCTATGGATAACTTGCTTGAATTTATACTTAACGTATGTGTGTCTTTTTGCCTAGTTGCTTACATGAGAACTCATTTAAACTACATGATAGGCAACTACTATTATAGAAGTCACATATACTAGGCTCTAGACACTTTTGCCAAAATTTAAAAATACAATCAAAATAAATCAAGTCAGTGAGTACTGCACAACCCCAAGCCAAAGAAGGCTTAACATCTATTTCAGGGAGACTGCACCTAGATACAGTTACTCTGTGATCTTACCCAACCATGAAAGATTAGATAGCGTGTTGTCAGCATCACATTGGCTTCTTGAGGGGAGTCCTCACAGCAGCATCCTGAAGAAATGCCTACTCCCTGAAGCAGATGTTGATAGTCTCCTGGCAGTTCACCCTTGAGGGAAGACTTGAATCCAAAGGATCCGTTGTGGGATGAAGGGAACTATTAGGCTGTGTCTACACTGGCATGAATTTCCGGAAATGCTTAAAATGGAATACTATTCCGTTTTCAGTTTTTCCAGAAAAGGAGCTTCTACATTGGCAGGCTGCTTTTCCGGAAAAGCCCTTTTTCCGGAAAAGCATCTGTGGCCAATGTAGACGCGCTTTTCTGGAAGAGAGCCCCAATCGCCATTTTCGCGATCGGGGCTTTTTTCCAGAAAAGACTACTGGGCTGTCTACACTGGCCCTTTTCCGGAACAGTGTTCCGGAATAAGGACTTATGCCCGAGCGGGAGCAGAATAGTTTTTCCGGAATAGCAGCTGATTTTGTACAGTAGAGCATCGTTGCTTTTCCGGAAATTCAAGGGCCAGTGTAGACAGCTCGCAGCTTATTCCGGAAAAGCGGCTGATTTTCCGGAATAAGTGGCCCAGTGTAGACACAGCCTTACAGTTTCAAACTAATATTAGCTGTTGTTTCCCCTTTAAACACATTAATAAGACTCTGCAATAAAATGAGTATATTTTTCTTCCCCGCCTTCTTATACAGACCCAATAAGTGCAAAATTCAGTAGAGCCATCTTGCAAATTAAATCCATTGATAGCATGTTCTGTCATTTTGGCAGTCTGTCACTTTTTCATATAGCTGAAAACTGAATTCTTTTTATAGAGAAGAACACTAAAGAACGGCACGACTACAGCATGCTACTTTGCAACAATTCACACAGCTGCTTCTTTGCTACTTGCTGAAATTATAGGTAAGAACAGATGACTGAGTTGTAATAGAGAGATCAGCTGAAATAGTTTTCTCCAATCAGTGGAGCTAGGTTAATTTGCACCAGTTGAGAATCTGCCCCCTCTCTTTATTCTCTCCCTGAAATCCAACTGTCCCCTCTCAGTTATTTAGTCCTTCTCCCACTACTCATTCATTCCCATTTACCCTTTGCTCCATCAATTACCACCACTGCCACCTCATGTCCCCAAAAAACAGTAGCAACTTCCAAATTAGTTAATATTTCACTCGCCTCTTTATGTGGCTCTGCTTCTCCTCCTCTGTTGCTGCTTGAGTACAAGACCACCATATGCCTGAATAGCATGAAAAATAGTATCTTCTCGGGCATAAGGGTGGGGATTAGTACCAAAAATCTTCACTCACCCCTCAAGTTTGGGGAGAAGGAGCAGTGCCAGGATTGTCTCTCCAATCCACAGGGAAATCAGTGTTGACAACTCTATTATTACAAGACTTGTGATTACTTGGAATTTTTCTTAAGTTCTCTATTTCTGGAATCAAGTGATTGTGAGAATCTCAGTTTTCATCTTTATAAAGCAAATTCCTAACCCTTCTACTTGTGGTGAAAACTTAAAAGGGAATGAATATTGAAAGCTAAGAAGCTTGAAGACAGAGACACAGAACCCAGTGTTTTATTGTTTTAAAGCCAATTGATCAGTTTTCAAAGCCAATCTCATGGGGCCTTTTTAGGCTGTACTCAGGATTTTTGACTGCTTAGGGTGACCAGTCCTGAGAGAGAGGATGCCAGGATCTTCAATCTCCTCTCAGTCAGGCCTTGCAGGTGAGAGGTGCACCAGGATATTCCCCTCCCCTCCCCTCCAAGTAGGCCTGGGGAAGTGGAGCTTTTGCATACGCACACAAAATGTAAATTGGTTTGCAGTTGCAAACATCGTGGCTGCGTCTAGACTGGCAAGTTTTAGACTGCATCTAGACTGGCAAAACTTGCCAGCTGTCTACACTGGCCGCTTGAATTTGCGCAAGAACACTGACGATCGAATGTTAGATTGTCAGTGTTCTTGCGCAAAAACTATGCTGCTCCCATTCGGGAAAAAGCCCCCTTGTGCAAATGTATTTGCGCAAGAGGGCCAGTGTAGACAGCTAAAAAGTGTTTTGCGCAAAAAAGCCCCGATGGCGAAAATGGCGATTGGGGCTTTCTTGCCCAAAACCATGTTTAGATTGGCACGGACGCTTTTCCGCAAAAAGTGCTTTTGCGCAAAAGCGTCCGTGCCAATCTAGACGCTCTTTTCTGCAAATGCTTTTAACGGAAAAACTTTCCGTTAAAAGCATTTGCGGAAAATCATGCCAGTCTAGACATAGCCCATGTGAATGTGTAAATTAAAATGTAGAATTAATTATCTGTGAACTAAACGGCTCAGGACTGAAATATTTTTGGGAAGATACCGCAGTGGTCCACGAGAACCTGCAGCACCATTGAAAAGTGATAGTCAGAGGCCTGGTGATCCAAAGGCAAAGATGGGGATGTGGGTGCCATCAAAACCTCCTCCTATTTAGGGGAGCCCATGGCGGCAAAGCCAGTGACAACGGGGTTTACGTTGCCCAGGGTGATGACCCTACACAGCAGGGTGGCATTGATGGCCTTGACCACCTATAGAAACATAGAATCATAGGGCTGCAAGAGCCTTTGAGTGGTCACAGAGTCAACACCCTTCCCAAAGCAGGACCAACCCCAAATAAACCATCCCAGCCAGGGCTTTGTCGAGGTGGGTTTGAACAATCTCTAGGGGTGGAGATTCCACCACCTCCCTAGGGAACCCAGTCCAGTACTTCACCACCCTCCTAATAAAATAGTCAAACCTACACGAGCACGGCCCCAGTGGTTGATCTCCCCAAGACAAACTGGTTCCCGACGGAGCGGTTGCTGTCAAGCATGGTGAGCTTCCAAAGCGTGATAGGGACACACTTCTGGAGGGGGATGGTGGGTCTCATATGGGTGTCCTGTCATCTGTGGGCAGGAGTGAGCCACTTGCAGAGCTCCAGGAAGGTGGCCTTCCACATGTGGAAGTTCTGGAGCCACTGCTAGTTGTCCCACTACTGAAGGACAGCGGGGTCCCACCAGTCGGAACTGGTGTCCTGGTGCCAGAAGCAGCATTGCATGGTGTGCAGGGGAGGATGGAAAGGAATGGGGTGCGTGAGGAGTGTCAGGGTTTGGGTGAAGAGGTCCTCCAGTCCATGCTGATTATCATCCTCCTGCAGCACCATGCGGGCCGTCTACATGAACTTTGCCATAAGGCACAGCAGGAGGCCCAAGAGCCGGTGGCTGCTTTGCAGCAGCTACAGTTCCATGATGAGAGTGATGTGGCACCCGCAATGGCAACCAGAGCACACGGTGTGAGTTCAATGTCCCTTGAGGGGGTAGTCAGTGGAGAAGAGAAGCATGAGATGTGGCTGTAGAGAGGATCCCCTTTAAGCACGAGTCTCAGCTAGCCTCAGGAAGTGACTGCTCTCTTGACGCTCTCCCTGCAGTCCTTCCGGGGGCGGGGGGAGCTTTAATTGCAATTCAGACGCCAATGAGTGTGGACATGCTATTTTGATATAATTCTACGCTATTTCGATGGTGTCTTGTAGTAAGGATGGCACATAAAAGTCATGTGTGGGTCCTGCAGCTTAGCAGGCCTGGGATGGAAGTTTCCAGCTTAGCATAGTGTGAGACGCTGCAAGCCCAAACAGCAGCTGTGCTTTATCAGCTCTAACCCATGCCTTGAGCTGGGAAATTACTGAGCAGTAAACAAGTTTGACCTCGGTCTCAGCTCATAAGAGTGATACGAATGGCGTTGAGCCAGGTACATGCACACCCAGTAAACAACTGTAGTATAACTAGTGTAGAAAGTTCTGTGTCCATTGAGTCTCAACAGGGACCAAGACCTCGAAGGGTGTCCTGAATCCCCCTAGCTGGAGCCACATCCACTGCGGCCGGGTGTGAGGTAACCACAGACCTGAACGGGCTTAAGCATTTACAAGTGCCTGTTACTTTTATATGCATTTCTTTGCCTGTAGTGAGGTATTGTATTATTTTGCAGTAGCTATGTAACCACCTGGCAGTATTAAGCCTGTAATAGTAGTGATGTAGTGAGATTAATAAAAGCAACTATCTATCCCTAATCAACTCTGTATTGAAGCAAATCCACAACCCTGTTGTGCCCTGGCCCTGTGGCTTGACAAAGGGCATGCTATTTCAAAATAATTTCCCAGTGTAGGCATGGCCTAAGAGTGAAACAATATACATTTAGCTTTGCTGAATCAAACCCTAATTGGAGAATTATCTGTACAAATGCCCAGTTTATATGTGCATTCATGGTAAATCACACATGCAAATATTAGTACACAATTGTATGCTAATTTTTGCATATGAATTCCCCCTCTCAATATATGTTGCTGGTTGGCCTTCAGTATAAAGGACTAATATAATTTTCTAGGAGCAATATAAAAAATAACCCGGTGGAGTAACACAAAAGACTCATGTGGCCCATAGTTTTGTCTGATTATTCATTTGGGTGGGATCTTAAGTTTGAGGGCACCTGGGCCTTATGCTTTAATATTATAAGGGCATGGACTCCAACACAGTTTTCAATTCTCTCATCATTTTTAATGGAAAATGCCTCAAGGTGCACATGACTTGTCTATTGTGGTTAATCTTTTCAGGTATGATTAACTACTGCCTTGCTTGAGGATGCAAATTTTGCATTTACTCCACAGACAAACTATATATTAAGTGTAATATAGAATGTGTATGGTGGGAATTATTGTGTGGAAATGTAAGAGCTCAAAATGACAGAGGTAGAGGATCTGCTTGATCTCATTATTACTTGATAAACACCAACATCATGATCAGTGTAGTACAAGGCATACAGAGACCTATCTACTGCTCTTAAGAGTTTACAATATAATCTAATTCATCAGACAGCAAGTCATCCCTGTTAAGTGCCATACTTAAACACATGCTGCATTTAGACTCATGATCACCTTCCATTGACTTTAGTGGGACTTAAGCAGATGCAAAGTTTAGAATGAAGCGTTATGCTAAATAGTGATGGGCTTAAGCACATGCTTACATCTTTTTCTGAATTAGTGACTAAATAGACAAATACTGTTTGGAAACACATAGTAGGGGGTCAGAATAACTGTACTGAGACCTGATCTACACTAGAAAAGTAAGTTGACTTTACTATCTCAGTGAGCATGAAAAATCTGCACCTCTGACCAGCATAGGTAAACTTATCTAACCCTGCATATAGATGGTGTATGGTTGATGGAAGACTTCTGTCAACCTAGCTACCGCCTCTTGGGGCGATGATATGTATGTGTTCCATTTTTGGGAAGCAGTGACTGGAAGGACAAGAACCTGTGTCAAGTTATCTAATTACTATGGTTCACTTGATACCAAGGGTATGTCTATTCTGCGGGACAGTGTTCATTGCGTAGCTGAACTTGAAATATTTGAATTCAGCTTTTGGCACTGTCTATACCATAGGAAGTCAAAGGAAGAACACTCTTCCTTCCATTTCCCTTACTCCTGTTGATGCTGGTAACCCTCATTTCAAGAGGAGTGCCCCTCTCTGTTCAAATTAGCTGTCTGAACTCGACCACTAGTTAGAACCCTGGAAGATCGACAGCAGCACCTTCAATCTTCCTCTGCAGTGTAGATGTACCACAAGAGACCCAAAAGACTTTGGCGCATATAGCATGTATTAAATTAGATCTGTATGAATCAAACTATAGCCCAGAATCTCTACAATTAGAAATTCCATGCTTAAATAATAAGAGTATAGGAGTAGGAATGTATTATGGACTACTTGTCTGGGATGGTGATGGTGAAATGCTCCATTAGAGCAATAGAAAATTTAATGATAAGGTGGATTTCAACTATCCTCATATTGACTGGCCACATTTTATCTCAGGATGGGATGCATATGCAAAGTTTCTACATTCCATTAGATGACTGGGCACATTTTACCTCAGGATGGGCTGAAACTGAGGGTAATTTATCACTTAAATCAGCTTCTGTGCCAGATGACTGGAGGATCACTAATTGGATGCCAATTTTTTTAAAAAAGGCTCCAAAAGTGATTCTTGGAATTACAGCCAGTAAGCCTAGCTTCAATATTGAACAGATTAATTGAAATCATAATAAAGAAAAGAATTATCAGACATTAACAAACATGATCTGTTGGGGAATCTTTGCAGAAAGGGTGCAGGTGGGTTCAGAGGCAGAAGATCCCCATCCTCATCATCAAAGTGTTGTATCATGCAAGCAAGGTAGTAACAAACTTCAACAGGCCTTTATTTACCAAAGGTGAAACCTCTTTACAAAGCTGCTGCTACTCCCCTCTTTAATACTCACTCAGGCCTGGCCCATCTCCTCCCCCCTCCTTCCTGTGCTTCCAGATTCCCAACAGCCAGTGCTCCTAGTTCTAATAATTACAAGCAGCATCTAAAACACCACATTCCCTCCTCTCTTAAGAAGCTCTACCAATTATAAAATAAACGTTGTTTTCTCAATGAGCTGGTCTCTACTCTAATCATCTCATCTGCCATATTCCCAAAGTCACAAGTTACAATCAGACTCCTCAGAGAAGCAACATACTGCACTGTAGTCTCCCCTGGTTTCTACTCACGCTGGCGAAATCTGTAGCGATTAACTACTACATTCACTTTTGGCACAAAAAAGTTCTTTAATGCAATGAGTGTAGTCTCATATTTATCATCTGCAAGGGGGAAAGTGTAAAATATACACTGCCCTTCTGCTCCAAGGCAGTGGATTAGCAGAGCACGCTTTCTTACTTCAGAAATCTCTGTAGTACTGATTGCAAGCAGATAAGTCTCAAACATATGGATCCAAAATGCAGGACAATGTAGCACTTTAAAGACTAACAAGATGGTTTATTAGATGATGAGCTTTCGTGGGCCAGACCCACTCCCTCAGATCAAATAGTGGAAGAAAATAGCCACAACCATATATACCAAAGGATACAATTAAAAAAAATGAACACATATGAAAAGGACAAATCACATTGCAGAACCAGGCAGTAAAAGCAATTGGAGGCTCACCTGGCCTTTGCAGAAAGGGTGCAGGTGGGTTCAGAGGCAGAAGATCCCCATCCTCATCATCAAAGTGTTGTATCATGCAAGCAAGGTAGTAACAAACTTCAACAGGCCTTTATTTACCAAAGGTGAAACCTCTTTACAAAGCTGCTGCTACTCCCCTCTTTAATACTCACTCAGGCCTGGCCCATCTCCTCCGCCCTCCTTCCTGTTTCCTGTGCTTCCAGATTCCCAACAGCCAATGTTCCCAGTTCTAATAATTACAAGCAGCATCTAAAACACCACAAGAGTGTATTTAGAAAACCTTTGACAAGGTCCTTCCCAAAGGCTTTTAAACTAAGATATCAAGGGATAAGAGGGAAGATCTTCAGGAACTGGTTCAAAGACAGTAACGAAAAGGATAGGAATATGTAGTTTTCAGAATGGAGAGAAGTAAATAGTGGTGACCCTTAGTAATCCATCCTGACACCAGTGCTTCTCACATATGCATAATTTTCTGGGGGTAAAAAGGGTATACAGAGAGGTGGCAAAATTTGCAAATGATACAAAATTACTCAAAATAGTCTACTTTGGACTTACCTAAGAAGAGTTACAAAGGGGTCTTGCTATATTAGATGACTAGGCAAGAAAATGGCAGATGAAATTCAGTGCTGATAAATGCGCAGCAGTGCACTTTGTAAAACATAATACCAACTATACATACCAATATCTGCTCAACATGCAGCCGCAGTCAAAAAGGCTAACAGATTATAAAGAAGCATTAAGAAAGGGATAAATAATAAGACAAAAAATTTCACAATGCTCTTGTATAAATCTATGGCTGCACCTTAAATACTATGTGCAGTTTTGGTCAGCCCATCTCAAAATGTATACATCAGAAATGGAAAAGTTAAAAAGAATGGTAAAAAAAATGGTTAAGATTATGGAACAGATTCCATATGAGGCAAGAAGAAAAAGACTGGGATGGTTCAGTTTGCGAAAGGATCAACAAATGCGGGACATGATAGAGGTCCATAAAATCATGAAGGGTATGGAGAAAGTCAATTAGGAATCATTATTTATCCCTTCACACAACACAGGAACTGGAGTCACCTAATGAAATTAACAGGCAGCAGGTTTAAAAAAAAAAACTAACAAAAGAAAGTATTTCTTCAAACAATGTACAGTCAACCTGTGGTACTCATTGCCAGAAGATGTTCTGAAGGACAAAACTATAACTATTTAAAAAATAATTAGATAAGTTCTTTGAGGATTCAGTACATCAGTGGCTATTAGCCACAATGGTTAGGGATGCAGTCCCATGCTCTGGGCGTTCCTAAGCCTCTGACTGCGAGTTGCTGGGATTCGATGACAGGGCATGGATCACACAACTAGGAATGGATCACTCCGTAATTGCCCTGTCCTATTCATTCCCTGTAAAACGGGTGGGGAACCTTTTTTGAGTCAGGGGCGGCTCACCCACAGAAAAAATCACAAGTGAAACTGGGGGCCATACACAAGTGAAAAGCAAAAAGACAAATAAACCATTACTGACATGGTCCCTAACTGAAAAGGAGAGATTGACTCCAGACATTCACCTTGCACAACAGAGCCTAGGGGAGATTTTGTGTGCTCCAGCCCTACAGTGGGGCAGCGGGGGAACAGGGATGGAGCGCCAGCGTGGACTCCCCAACACTGGGGGTGGAGCCCTGAGCCTTGGGGGCTGGATGCAGGCAAGCCAGGGGCCACATCTAGCCCCCGGGGCTTAGGTTTCCCCCTCTTCCCTCCACCCCCCCTAAAGCCTCTGATATTGGACACTGCCGGAAGACAGGATACTGGGTAGATGGATCATTACTCTGATCCAGTATCACCATTATGTTTTTATGTCAGTTTCAAAATGACTATTTTTGTTTTGTGAACACTTAAATAATAACATGCATAGTTCAGTATTTGATTGAGGCTGCATAAGTATTATTGAACGAAAGCTAATTTTTATAATATTTCAAAGGCTAGTCCCATATACATAACCAATTACAAGTTAAAACCTATTGCCAGCAAGGTTAGATGCTGCACTGTCTGTACAAAAGCTTACAAATGGAAGCACTGCATTTGTAATACACATAGATCTGTATCTGCCCATTATGCAGTGTAAACTAGCGGGCTCTTTCACAGCTGTATAGTGGTTTGGGGAAGACAAAGACTCCCCTTTAAACAACCCGGGCGTGGCCTATGGAAAGTCCAGGCAGAATTGCAATCCTTGCTAATATGTAATGGATACACAGTGCCCCAAAACAGTGCTTGTTTGTGCCAGGGCTGAGCCCTGGCACGTGTAGGCTTGACAGTTCATAGCCTTGGCACCTCTGCATCAATTTTTTTTTGCATCAATTATGAATGTAAAAAAAATTGGTTCAATCCCAGCATCCACTTGAACCCTGGCATCTCTTTCATTGCAAATTAAACACTGTGTAAAGGGAACAGGAAGGTAGGCTGTGGTCTCCAGCTGACCTATACAGTCAGATGACATACAGCTGGGGTTCTCAAACTACAGCCTGTGAGCCAGACCCTTCTGTCTGGTCCCAATTTCCTTCCCAGGGAAGATAATCCTGAGCTCCTCTGCTTCCGTTTCCTCTTCCCTGCAGCCTCAGCTTGCTGTGCTGCCTACCCTGGTGCTCCGGGTAGCATGGTCTGGGGCTGAAGATCAGGAGGGTTAGATGGGGCAGAGAGATCACAGGGCAGTCAGAGAGTGGGAAACAGGGTTAGATTGGGTGTTGGGCCCCTACCGGGTCCTCCATACAATTTCTGGACTCTGATGTGGCACTCTGGCCACATTTAGCATAGAGGAAGCAGGCTGTAGGCATAGTGTGGTGGCATGCATGCTCTCTCTGTGGGTTGGTTGGGAAAATTTGGGAGGCATTTTACCTACCAGTGTTCTTCCTGGGCTGTGTGTAACCAGCATGATCTAGCTCTTATTTATAATGTTTACAGTAGTGAGTCCTAGGTAATTTCTATTTCAGTCTTTTTTCCCCTCCATCTCAGAATGTTTTCCTTTTGGGCTAAAAAGTGTGAGCCTAAAGGTGAAGAAAAGAACATGGACATTGTTATTCTTAAATTAAGTTATCTGGGCTAGGATTTGGTACTGTGGTTTTAAATGCAGGTCTTGCTAGCAGTTTTCATGTGGAAACCAAATGATTGAGTTTATTTGTTTATACATTTCACAGATAAATTTGGTCAGCGAGCATTTGTTGGCAAGGTTTGCATGGATCTCAATGAATTTGTTCCAGAATACAAGGAAGACACTGATGAATCTGTTAAGGAGACGGAAAGGTAAAATGATTATATTGATACTATTATCTTTAGAAATTTTGCTTAATAAAAGTGAAAAAGGACAGGAAAGCAAGTCAAGGATTAATCTTATAACTTTTAGATCCAAGTAGTAATTTTTTTTCATCCATTTACAAAAAATCTGATTCTCCTCTCATACCAGTTTTCCACCAAAGCAACAAAATTTGCCTCAGTGGAATTGCTCCTAATTTACAGCAGTGTAAGTGGGAGAAGAATATGGTCCATACAGCGTAATTATACTCACAAATTTACATTTATACTTCTTTTAATAATCTGAAAATGCTGAGTCTTAACATGAAGGACTTGCTACTATAATAGTTTATATAGGCACCAGATTGCTGTATGGAAGCATGGTTATCTGGGAGCCATTTTGTAAATATATTAGTCACTATCATGCAAACATATAATATTTTACTCATATGAACAGTCACACACAGGATCAGGACCATAGAGAAATACATAATAAGGTAGCATATAACAATCTGAATAGTTCATGGAGTGAGTTTGGAATTACCGCATTACTTATGCAGATTATCCCAAATGATTGCCAGTGATATCTTTTCACTACTGCAAACTATCATGCTTTTTTAAATGCAATATGATTGAGGAGAGATTTTTAAAAAGTTTAATTTATTTTATTAGTACTGCACTAATGTTTGTTTTCCCTTGGCTGTTAACCTAGGCTTCCTCAGGACCAACTCCAGTTGTATAGGCCTAAAAGAGAGAGGACCTTTAGTTCTAGTACCTGTTTAAAACATAACAATTTCAAACAGGAATTTACAGAAAATATATCATGGGTTTGAGATCCAGTATCTCATGACTGTGGTAATAATGGATATTCTATAGTTTTGGAAAAGAGGAATTCCAGCTCTTGTGGAGAAGATAGCTTTGTCTAGCCTGGAAGATTTGCTTTTGAGACCTGGACTTCAGCCATGAACCATGAGAGAAAACTCTTCCTTTCTGTTAAAGGAAACTTTTTTGCCATATTCAAATATCTTTTTAAAAAAATATTGTCTCTGAGAACTGCTCAGCATTTAGAAATGTTAAAAATAAATTGGTGAGCATACTAAGGTTATGATCGCACAAGAATGAAATAAACGTAGTTTATCACGTAGACCCATAATTTATCACACGGATTCCAGTAAATTACAACTAATTTTTTTTTACATATATAGGAGGTGATATATATTACTTTGCATTTATCTGTAACCAAAGTGTGGAGAGAAAGTAGTAGGTGGACAGGACTGGAGGGAGGGAGGAAATAGGTGGGAAGGTCTCAAGTATAGATTGAAAAAAAAAAAAGCTGTATTTACCCCTGAAACTAGGCAAAACTCTTTGATTTCAGTTTTCAGTGTAAACCATTGAACTGTCAAGGATTTGCAAGAACCTCTGGCCCTGGTGAATAGCTAATGGTCT